GGCAAGGAAGCCGCGCGAGTTGAGAGAACCCCACCGGGGCGTGTTAGCTGGCGCGCCACCTGAGGTCAAGACGATCCACCGCCTTGCCGCCCCGTGTAGGATACAGGCAGAGCCACCTCGCCCGGCCTAAAAGATTCTGAAAGGAATCTGAAACACTTGGCTCAAAGCACTGACCAAGCTTGGAAGAAGCTACAGTCCTCAGAGGGCCTTCTATTATTTTTTTTTTTTTTGAACAGATCTCACGTCGCCCAGGCTAGAGGATGCCTTTCGGGTAGTCAGCGCTGAGGGTCGCACGGAGCAACCTCAAACACCTGGGGGCTCAAGCAACCTAAAATGGCCCTGCTGGCGCGCGCCCAAGGAAACGAGCAGCGAACGCCGCGAGAGCGGAGCATATAGGTGGCCATGAAGTCTTTCGTTAAGTAGAGACAGGACGCTCGGGCTTCAGGCTCGGTGTGTTCGAAACGCCTGACCCTCAAGGGATCCGCGCGCGCCGGGCGCGAGAAGCGTAGCGAGAGTGAGGCGCCAGCGCGGCTGCCCGCCTGCCGGGCCAGACTGCGTTTTACAAGCATTGCGGAATTAGAAGGAACGACAGAAGTTGTTTCCTATTTTTATGGTAGATAGAAGGAAGGAAGGAAGGAAGGAAGGAAGGAAGGAAGGAAGGAAGGGTGTTATAATCACAACAATAAATCTCTTTAGACCCTTTTTTGGAGTCTAGGTGCCTGACCTAAACAGATATTTATGTCATCTCAACATTAATGTTTTCTAAATCTCAGTCCAGATTTGCAGTTGTTTCCAAGTTCATAGCTGTGACCAGTCTGCATTTGCACAGGATAGCTTAAATAAGTGGATTGTACTGATTTCTGGGGTTCATTGAAGAGCTGAGAAATTTGATTTTGAGAGACGATGTCAGTCATTTCTGGGAACAATGCTGGCATGGATCGTTAATCAGAATATTCTGAATTCCTACAGGCAAATGGTACCACTATTTGTACCATGGTGTCTATGGACATAAAGGTGATATGAAGCTGTCGGCAAATGCTGATGGGACTATCCTGTCTCAGAATCGGAAGTCACCTAAATGTGGTGAAATCTTTCTTGTCTGTTTTCTTGTCCCAGATTTTTATTATGCATTTAGTTAAAGCTGGTGACAACAGAATACAAATCTTATTTTAATTAAACCTTTCCCCAGTGTCCTGTCAGTGCTCTGCACTGAGGGAACGGGCATTCGTGAATAGGAAGCTGAGGATGAACTGTGAGAAGCCTCCGTTTTACACTGATTTTCACGGAACACAAGATGGACTGTTTGCTGTGAAACCACTGGGGATAACGGGTGCTGGATATTTTGCGACGATTTTTATCTCCGGTGTTTCTGGCACTGGCTAAGGTTTCAGGCAAACAGAGGCACGAAGGACCTAGCAACAATCGCTGGGGAGCTTCCTGGTTGCTAGCAACAGTAAATACCGCTGAGACACAGACACAAAGACTCAACCTTTCGCAGGCACACAATGAAACCCGGAGCCTGGTTTCTTATTTCAGATACAACAGAGTCCTCCGGGTAGAGTACAACAGCTTCTTCTTTCTCCCCTTTATATTAGATTTTAAAATTTTTGTACAGAAACACACACTACCCAGAAGCCCATACAACCATCGTGCTTCTAAATTTGTCCAAGAACACTAATATTCTAACCTCTGCCTCAGTACCATCATTTTTTACTATTTTGAGGGAGAAATGAAAGGAAATGATGCTGTTTATCTGACTTGAGAATTTTAAATAATGTGTGACTTGTTTAACTTGTATGTAATTGCCTGTATTCTATAAGAGTCACAGTTGATTTTCACCCTTCTGAAAATATTCAGGAATAGTATCTGAAAGATCTTCTTCTCCAAGTTTATTTGTTTTTAGGAAAGGTAGAAGCATACAGACTATGAAATACAGCACTGGCAGTTTAAGGTTTTTCCATGACTCATTCTAGGAAATTGCATAATGGCCTTTCCCTGCCAAGTTCACACACTATTCTCAAATACCTTGCTATTTTCCTTATTCTATCCCTTTATTCCCCAACCCATGTCTCTCTTTCCATCTTTTCTATATACTATCAACTTTTTTCTCTTTTTTGTAAGGCTGTAAAATGCTCTAGGGTATAATCACGTGACACACAAGGTGACAAGGAAATCTGAAATACCCCCAACCTTGCTAGTCTGTCTCCTAGCAACTGTATAATGGGTTGCTTAGTAACGTGGAAGGCGAAAGTCACTCTTACATATCTAAAAATACTGAAATAATTTTAAAAAGATTAATAGTGGGCTTATTTATTAAAATATACTAAATCCACAGACAATCTTACCACATAGGAGACTTATTTCAGGCTGTGCTATCTTCAGAAAACCTCCACATCTTTTATAGTCTATGTACAATGCTAGAATAACAGATTGTTGTTCATATAAGCAAATGAAGAAAAAACCCACAGCCTTTTCTAGCCCTTTCTCTTCTATACATGGATAACCAATGTTTAAGTCTAAAGAAGGATGAAGAAATGGTTCCTAAATGATCTTTTAGGCTGGGCAGATGAAGAAAAATGCAGTCTTCTCTAACTCCTTCTCTTCTGCACATGCATAATCGATTTTTAAAGGAAGATGGAGAAATGTTTCTTAAAATGCCCTTTAAGGTTGGGCTTCACTTGGAGTTGTGTCTTTAGGGTTACAACCATAAAGAGAGTAACTCTTAGTCAGCTTATCCAGGGGTTATTAGAATTTAGAAATAACTGAACCACACCAAACACACTAAAATTGTTTAGTTCCAAATGATACATTATTAATTCTAAGAGATGGTATTTACTGAATTAGACATATTGAATCAGACTCTCTGGTGAAGGAACTGGGAAACTATATTTTTAAATAGTACCCCAGTTGCTTCAGCACATTTAGGAAACATTGGTGTACAGGATCATTCCAATGCCTTACAAAGAGACAGCTTCTATTAATATTTTAGTCTTAAATTTATGCCTGTAACGGTAGAAGAGGTAACTTCAAAGACCAAGTCAGTCCTAAATATTCTGCGACATCCTCCCCTTGAACTAGGACCATTGTGGGGTTTTTTTTTCTTTTTTTTTAAGAGACAGAGTCTTACTGTCCCCCGGGCTAGAGTGCAGTGGCATGATCATAGCTCACTGAAGCCTCAACTTCTGGGCTCGAGTGATCTTCCTGCCTCGGCTAATTTTTTCATTTTTTGGTAGAGACAAGGTCTCACTATGTTGCCCAGAATCCCTGGTCCTCCTGTCTCGGCCTCTCAAAGTGCTGGGATTACAGGCACAAGCCACCATGTACAACTGGCACTTTGGCTAATAAAATTGGTCAAGCTTTGAATATTAGTCATTTATTCATTCTGCAAATATTTATTAAGATAATTTTGAAATATAGTTGACAGAATTTAGTGATCATTTAGCTTAAATGAATTAACATAAAGTACTTAGAATAGTGCCTGGAACATAGTGTTATATGAGGTTATTATTATTAATATTTAAAAAAAAATTTTTATTTCGGCATATTATGGGGATACAGATTTTAAGGTTTCAATAAATGCCCTTTCCCCCCTCCCACCACAAGTCTGAGTTTCCAGCATGATCATCCCCCAGATGGTGCACATCTCACTCATTATGTATGTATCTACCCGCCCTTCTTATTATTAATATTTTAATCTAGCTTGGTAGATCAGAAAGATGGTGACAATGAACTGATATTGAGAATATAGAATAACTGAGAATATGGAGAATATAAAATACTGAAGAGACGCTACATGAAGCCATGGGAAAGAAAATTATAAAAAAAAAAAAGAAAAAAATTTTAAGTAATTAAAAATAAAAAAAATCCTAAGGAGAATAATGGAGAAGAAGAACTAATTCCATTTACATATACTACATTTGAAATGCAGTATATGAAGATAAAATCAGTAAGAACTATAAGTCTCAAAGATGAAGGTGTGTTATATAAGACATTTAAAAAATGAATTCTGACTTTTTGTGTGGCTAGCTATACATAAAAATGAAGCAATTGTAATTCCTCAGTATTTTATATCTAAAAAGATCAATGCATCTATAAACGTTTGGAGGCACTAAATGGTATTTTGATCACTAGTACATCTCTCTCACCCTGGTTTATCTACAATGTGTAATTAATTAAGATAAGGATTTGAGAGGAAAGAGAGAAACCCACATTTGGAAGGTTGGGGGAGGTGACTCTGGAGCTTTTATTTGATTATTATTAAATCCCTGTAGCCAGTGCACCATGGCAACCTTCCTAGCCTGCCACCTATTTCCATCTGCTTTGGAGAAGGAAGGGTGCTGGACAAAGGTGGTTCAATGTGCATTCTTGTGAGTGTGTGTAAAATGCAACCAAATTATAAATTGTGCTTCATGAAAACTGAGATTATCTATAGTCATCTCCATTTCCTTCTCTTTCTTCTCTTCTCAGGATGCCTTTGAGCTTCTTCAAGTTTTGTCCCCTTTTTTCAAATGTCACATTTCATCAGTAGGCTTAGGTAAACCACCACTTCAATTTACCAGAGCAAAACTACAAATTAGAATGTGTATCTCAAGACACAAATATTTTGTTAAAAAAAGCGATTCAGTAAATGAATGAACATCAATGAGTGACTTCAAAGCATTGTATTCCAATGCCGTATATACAAATATATATTTTTAACCTGGTTCTTCCTACCAAAAGAGAAACATTTTTAATATTACAGAGAACAAGTATTTATTGTCTTATAAGTCTTACTTCTGGAATAGAAATCCACTAATATTTATCTCTGCTATACACATAAAAATCCTTCCCAGAATAGATAAAGCTCAGGTATCAGAATGACCAGAATGATATTTTTTACTATAGTTATCCAGAAAAAAACATTATTTAGTAATATTACATTGTGTTAACCAGAGTTTGAGAAATAGAATGTTAAGCTTTAAATACAATTCTGAAGTCTAGATATGGGGTCACATTCTTACCTAAATTATTAGTGTTGGAATTTGACCAAGGTGAATTCAGTGGATAATCTTTAATGGCCACACATAATAAAAGCCAATTCATTCAATATAGTTCGATAGGCACTGAACCCTAAAATGAAGATAAACGTAAATTCAGTGTATCATCATAATCATGTTCATTCCCTTATTTAGAGTTTGAAGTGTGTTTTGCTAGAGAATTTAAGGGAAACCTAGTTGCTTAAATTTACCCTTTTACACTCATACATGCACCAAAAAGGTAGTGTGACATGGACAGGCGTGGTCATTTCACAAAGGATACAGAGGCAGTGATATGGCGTGAAGTGGACACCACGGTGAACTGTCGGCACCTCAAAAACCAGACAATGAGCTTCATCATCTTTGTGTCCGGCAGCTCCTACACTGACCTCTACGTCACAGCACTCATCACAGTATATTGTAATAACAGTTTCCATCCTTGGACTTGGAACTCCTCTGGGGCAGGAAATACTTTTTATGTCTTTTATGCCAAGCCCTTGCTGTATACTGATTTCCTTCTCAGTAAATCCAATGAGCACTCTTCCGTCCTTATTTAACAACTCCTTGGCAGTATTTGATAATATTTAGCACCCTTTCCTGACATCCTCTCCTTCCTTTCTTTCTGTAACATCAATGTGTTCTCCCTTACTTCCTCCTTCTTTGGTCACTCTTTCTTTGTTTCATTTTCTGACGCTTTCTTCTCTTGCAGTCTTTTACTGTTTTGAATTTCTTAAATCTGTCCCAAAATCTGGTAACTCGACCTCATAAATATCCCCCAAATCTATCTTTTTCCCATTCTGTGACATTACTTGAAATTCCAGGTTATTCTTGGACAATTCTATTCCCGTATCATACCACCAGCATTATAACCATGTTGCTGTCATTAGACTCCAAATATACATCTTCACCCCTCTAGTCTTGACCTTTCTTTGAGCAGTGCCAACTCATATTCCCAGTAGCCTCTAAGACTTCTGCCCTCAACCAGGCACGGTGGCTCACACCTGTAATCCTAGCACTCTGGCAGGCCAAAGCGGGAGGATCACTCACGGTCATGAGTTCAAAACCAGCCAGAGCAAGAGCAAGACCCTGTCTCTACTAAAAATAGAAAGAAATTAATTGGACAACTAACAATCTATAGAAAAAATTAGCCGGGCATGGTGGCGCATGCCTGTAGTCCCAGGTACTCGGGAGGCTGAGGCAGGAAGATCACTTGAGCCCAGAAGTTTGAGGTTGCTGTGAGCTAGGCTGATGCCATGGCACTCTAGCCTGGGCAACAAAATGAGACTCTGTCTCAAAAAAAATATAAAAAAAAAGACTTCTGCCCTCAATCTCTCTATTGCCTTAAATGGTCTAACATTCAACATTCAACAGCTAGATCACGTCAATTGAACTTTTCTGCCCTCAACACCTTCCCCCTCACACACACAAATGTATTTCTTGCTTAGACATGTATCCCTTCTCAAATTCCCTATTTCTGTAAATAGCACTGCTACCATTTCATTCCCTTAGTCTTTAAGGCTAAAAACTTCAAGGTTTAATTTTGACTCCTTCCTTTTTACCATGTCCAACCAATCACCACCAGGATTCTTCCTTTGAATGGTCTCTTCTATTATCCATTTCTATCCATTCTCACTGTAATTATGATGGGCTGAGACCTTCTGCTTAGATTATTGCAATAACCTCCTTCTTGGTCTCTTTGTCTCCAGTCTCTTTCTCTACTCCACACACCTGTCAGATTAACTTTACAAAAATGATGTTCTTTTCATAAATCTGTCACTCTTTCCTATAAGAAGATAAAAGCTTCCCTCTGTATATGGACTCAAGCCCAAAATCCTTCAGACTGAAGTTCAAAAGATTTTGTTAACTAGCTCTATCCTTCCCATATAACACAACACTCACAATTCTGTTGCATGCTCTAAGCCAATTTCTTTGTCTACTCTTATACAGGCAGCAGATCATCACTATACTGCCTTTGCTGATGTTATTTTCTCTATCCATAATGTAATCATTCCACTCCCATCCCATTTAAGTTTAAAAGCCACCTTTTTTTTGGAGACAAAGTCTAGCTCTGTGGCCCAGGCTACAGTGCCATGATCAGCCCTGCTTACAGCAATCTCAAACTCATGGGCTTAAGCAATCCTTCTGCTTCAGCTTCCCAAATAACCAGGACTACAGACATGTGCCACAATGCCTGGAAGAGCCACCATTTCTAATGAAGCCTTGCATGATTAACACTAGTTCAATTTGAGATACCTGTGAGAAAACAAGCCAGATATTGGAAGTTTACTATATGATCAGAAGCTAAGAAGAGCTATCATTAACTCATTAGCATATAAAAAAGATTTGAAGTCTTGGGAATGAATGCACTTACTATCCACTAAGAATGGATGAGATCACATAAAATATCAGGAAAAGGTATAGGAGTGAACTTTGAGGAATTCCAACATTTGAATATTAGGGAAAGGAGGAGGAACCAGCAGAGACTGACTAGAAACAAAAATGTAGGAGGGAAACCCAGAAAATGTAGAGTTTTTGAGGCCAAAGGAAGAAAGTATCTCAAGCAAGAGATAATTGTCAACTGTGACAAAACCTATCACAAATTAACAAGAACTAAAAAGTGTCCAGTGGACTAGCAACAAACATGGAGGGACTTTAGTTTAAAGGAGCAGAATCCAGATTGGAATGGATTTAGGGATAAATAGGAGATAAAAGAAGTAGAAAAAAAGTGTTAGACCATGGTTGTTTCCTACATAAATTATAATACAGGGGATCATGCAATGAATTCAACAAGGTCCCTTTCCATACACACACAAACATGTCATTCTCAAACCTATATAAATGTATAAGTCTTAATTCTTTAATTAAATTGGAAGAGTCTATAGAAAAAAGCCCATGCTACTACCTTTGAATTCCTCACCACCTAGGATGGTCTGGGGCTCATTATAGATACTCTGTAAATGCTTGTTGAATATAAATGGTAAAATACTTTATTAAATACTTTTATACTATTAACCATGATAACAGTTAATGAAAATATGCACAGAGAGCTGCTCATTTACTTCAACAAACATGTATGTAATGTCTAGTATATGTTAGGTACTTTGACAGAAACTAGGACTCACATTTTGATGGAGGAGATGCATAGAAATGCAAATAAATAATTAAAATTCCACAAATATTATGAAAAAATGTTTTATGCTAATATTATTATGTACAAAAATGAAACCATTAACAGAATATTTATGCATGTATATGGATGTAAGTTAAAGAAATTGGCAATAAAAATGAGAAGTGAAGCTTGGGCTCAATGGCCGAAACCTGTGTAATCCCAGCATTCTGGAGGGATAGGTGGGAGGATTGCTTGAGACCAGGAGTTCCAGACCAGCCTGGGCAAAATAGCAATACTCTATCTATACAAAAAAATTTTTTTAAATTAGCCAGGTGTGGTGGCACATGTCTGTAGTTCCAGCTACTGGTGAGACTGAGGCAGGAGGATTGCTTGAGCCCTTGGAGTTTGAGGCTGCAGTGAGCTATAATATTGCCATTGAGCTCCAGCATGGGTTAAAGATCAAGACCTTGTCTCAAAAAGAAGAAATTAACTTTTTTTTTTTTTGAGATAGGATCTTCCTCTGTTGCCCCAGCTAGAGTGCAGTGGTGTCATCATAGCTTACTGCAACCTCAAGCTCCTGGGCTCAAGTGATCCTCCTGCCTCAGCCTCCTGAGTAGCTGGGACTACAAGTGTGTGCCACCACCCCCAGGATTTTCTGTTTTATGTAGAGATGGGGTCTTGCTCTTGCTCAGGCTGGTCTTAAACTCCTGGCCTCAAGCAAACCTCCCACCTCAGCCTCCCAAATTGATAGAATTACAGGTGTGAGCCATTGTGCCCGGCTCACAGGTGAACTATTAAAAAATTTTTTTTATAAGGACTAGCACATAGAATAAAAAAAAAAAAAAAAATTTTTTTTGGCTAGGTGCGGTGGCTCACCCCTGTAATCCCAGCACTTTGAGACGCCAAGGCAGGAGGATTGCTTGAGCTACGGAGTTTGAGACCAGCTTAAGCAAGAGTGAGACCCCATATCTATCAAAAAGAAAAAAAATATTTTTTTTACTTTCCACAGTTTGAATGCTATTACATCAGATAATGAGAAGCAAGAAGAATAGATTGGCTATTTCCCTTGATCTCCTATTTATATATTTAAGATTATCAGTGCTCTAGTAGTCTATTTCTGACCTAGATCTTGTTGTTACTTATGCCCAAGGGGAGGAAAAAATTCTCATTTACATAAGGAACAAAATGGCTCTGAGAAAGAATTACAAAGAATCAATTGCATGAACCCTTCTCTTTTTTATTTAATTCTCTGTAAATTGCATAATGAACTGAAACTATTGGAGAAAAGACATATTTCTTAATTAATCTTTTTATGTGTGAAGAAAATAAAATTCAAAATTCTGCCTCTCTTTCCAAAAAGAAGAATTTTACACTTTAACATTGTCCAGCAGTCTGAATTTATTTTATTATTAAAATTGTGAAAGTATCTTGAATGGGCTACTTATTAATCCTTATGCTCTTCCATGCCATTTAATTCTTATTTTTAAGTGGAATTCTGGGTTCAGAAAGAAGCATTTAACTCATCCTTAATCCTCCCGTCTCTTTACTGAAATATATTTTTATTTGTTAAAGGGATGGAGATAAGATGATGTTGAGAATTATTTTTCCTACAAAATATGCAATAAGTAGATAAAATGGTTTATGTGTTGGGTTTTATTTTTTCTAGAGAGGACTACTGCAGCAAATTTGAACAAGTAAAGCAGAGCTGTGGATAACAGGCTAGAAAAATCCATGGCTGCCTTTGTCACACCACAACCTGCAGCAGCTGTCTTCTCAAGTCCCTCCCTCCCACACCCTGCTCTGCCTGCCAGCCCAGCAGGAATGAATGGGCTCTGCAGTGCACTGTAAATAGCGCTGCAGACCTTGAAAATCTGTCGCTTAAAAACCAAAAGGAAAAATTACCTACCAAAATACAAATTTTCAACTTTGGTAGCCAACAAACCTCCTTTACCTGTGAAATTTCATCAGAAACATCAAGTGATACCAAGTCCAGAGACTTATTCTGCATAGCCCATCATTGCTGATAATGGAGCCTTTCTAAATAGCAAAAGAATGTTACTGCAATTCATTTCCTATGGGTGAAAGCAAAGCCTTTTTGTCCGAAGGGGCAACTGAGCAACCATCAGAGTCTCTAGTTGAATAGGAACGGTGTGAGGCTGCCTACAATTCCCACAGCTAGAAGCCCAACCCCAGAGGAGGATATTTACCAAATTCACATACAAACTACATAAAAATGAAATGCAGTTATTGAGGTGACATTGCACAGTTGTCTGTGGACAGAGGCAACATTACAAAATGGTCTTCTCTTTATACAACTCTCCTTTTTAATTTGCGTCTTGCTTATCATCATCATTATTATTTTTGCTTGTTACTTTCCAGAAAAAAGAACAATGCAGAAATATAACTGCACATGCAGGTAGTGCTAGCTTCTGAACTCAATTCTTTCTCCTTCTATTTTCCCAATTCTGTATCAGGAAAGATGATTCATTCCTAGGGACAATGCACCACACAAAATATATTACATAGACTTCTCATAAAGGAATAGCTCTAGTAAACTATTCAAGTACCGTATATTCATTATCTTTTAATTACTGCCATGTTAGAACTATTTGTGTGCTTCTTTATTTAGTATGGTTATTCTTCCCATCTTCCATTATTGTTGAGCTATTTGGGGTGTGTGCAAAAGAAAGTTTGAAAGTAAATTATTTGAACCTGAGAAACCATTTTGAATGACTCTATTACCAAATCTTTTTTAAAATTAAAAAAAAAATCACATTTACCCAAGCCATTTTGAGCATTATTCCTGTCTTCTCTCCTACTTTATTTTTAAAATTAGAAATGTTGAACCCTAACCGAATGCAGTCGAGTTTAATCAACTATGAAGGAGGGGCTGGGAGTAATTTTCCATTAAACATTTCATCTCAACATAAATTCTGCGATTAAGTGTTGGGAAAAAAAAGCTTCCATAGGTGGTTTTATCTGCAGTTTGAGGTTTAAGCAATGTAAAATCACCCAACCCCAGTTCTCTTTCTTCCCTTTCCGCCCCTCCCCAACCCCACCCCATAATGGATGCTCGGCCTGCCGACTGCTTCTGCACAGCCTCTTTGTCTGAAGGATGCAAACAGTCTATGGATGCTGGGGAAAAAGGGGTGGAGGAGAGATTACCTCATCCCATGTCGCTTGCACCAATCACCACTCTCCTGTCATGGCTTCTCTGGGCAGATCGAGGGGTCTGGACCAACAGGAAAAGGCCCCGGCCCATCCCCATGGTGACCGAGTTGTATATAGGGAGCCGCATCCGCCCATGTGCCGCAGGTTCTCTTACATCGACCGCCTAAGAGTCGCGCTGTAAGAAGCAACAACCTCCCCTCCTCGTCTCCGCCATCTGCTCTGCGGCCGCGACGCAGCAACCATGGTAAGACTCTGTCGTCTCCGGCTCTCCGTGGCCGTTGGGTGGAGTCGGTCCCCCAGGTCTCCTGGGAAGACCTTAAGCTCTTTTCTTTTGCAGCCTCGCCGGGTAAGGGCAGTCTGGTGCTTTGTTGCGAGGTCTGGCTTTGTCTGCCCTGCGCCCTCACGCCTCGGCGCCGCCGCAGTGCGGGGAGCAGGCGCCGGGCCGGGACGCGGCCGGGCGACGCGGACAACAAAGGCGGTGCGAGGGAGCTCGCGTCACCCGAGACCCTTGGGGACCGCAGGCAGCCGGTCCGTCGTGATGGAAGGGGCTGGGGCAGGGACGGACGACGGCGGCGTCGCACGCCCGGCCCTCGTGTCTGTGCGCACCGCCTTCGTGCGCCCCCGGACCCGGAGAGGCGGCGGCGTCCGGAAAGACCGAGGGCGGGGGGCGTAGCTGGGGGACAGAGGCGGAGAAGACACGGACAAAGCGGAGCCTTGGGTTAGTTTCAGAAAATCCCTCCCGGCTTCGTTGGCATTTTAAGAAAGATACCCATATATTAATGGGAAGAAATGGTTAGTTTCCGCTGGAGCCCTTGGCAGCCAGTGTCAGGGCGGCGCAGGGGCGGAGTTGTTTGTTTCTGGTTTCTCTGGCGTTAGAGCCGCTGGGCGGGGTTCGCCCTCCCTAAACCCCCCTTGTCAGAAGACTTTTAATAAAAGCCTTTCGTCATTGCGGAACTGTAGCTTTCAGGATGTTTTTCATTCACTGTTATAACTTAGAGAAAAGATTTTTTTTTTTCTTGAGCAAAATCACAATTACTTGATAAGCTCTTTTGTATCTGCTCTGGGGACGCCTGCCCTGACCAACTGGAGGGAGAGAGAGACTTTCTGTGTCTGTCTTGGCCGCCTGTTTAGCAAGGGAGAAAGCCCACTTTGTGAGCCATTAGGGTACCCAAAATGGTCAGGACCCAGGGAAACGCCCTTCCCCGCCCCCCTCCCATTGGTCAGTGCATAGACAATGAAAGTTGTCGTCCTAAAGACCTTAGAGAAGAAAATCTCTATTGGATGCAGAGAATGAATATTATGTGGTGGGTAGACAATCTCAGAATGAAAATACTATTTTGTTGTTTTAAATAAATATTTCAGTATCCTTTAAACTTGGCTTTTATTGTTTGTTTGGTAGCTTCTCATGTGATATTTGTTTCTAACAGGAACTTTTCTTTTAAGATACTAATAATTTTCAGTTTTTTACAGTGGAGGAGATTCTGGAAAAATGTTTTCTTAAAAAAAAGCAGTGAAATTGCTACAGACAAAGAAGAATTATACTCTGCATCCCGTTGTCTTTTGTTCTAGTGCATCTTCATTAATTCATTTCAATTCAGGCACATGGTCCCAGGCTGGGTCAGAGGAGGAAAACCGGCAAAACAGCACAATGAGATCATGTAGGCAGTTGCTGGAAATAGAGCTTGCTCTGTTAAATAATGTAGCAGACAGTACAGGCTAGAACCAGGCACAGCAACAGCAATGCAGCAATGCAGGAGGCAGATCTTGTCTAGCTTCTAAACCCCCTAGTATTGAAGGATTCTGCAGAGAGACTGCAAAAGGGTGTGGCTTCTATCCTCAGCTGCAGTACAGATGTCTACATTGTAATACCAAGTCCTAGTCAGAAAAAAACCTTCATCTTTATTTAAAGGAGAATGAAGCAGTAAAATTAATTTATATTAATTAATGATCAAATTTAATTTACTTCGTTTCAAAAAATCTGCTTTGAATACTTTTTAAATATGGAAAATCTTCTATTTGAGATTGTGAGAACAATAGGTATGCACCATGTGCTAAACAGCATTGAGGTGACATTATTATTCAGACCACACCCATATACAGCATTTGTAGCAGGTGCTTTTCCTTAATCATTTCTATCATGTTAGATACACGACCTCAGATAAATGTGAAGAATACTGTATATTACTAGAAATATTTTTAGAAATTTACTGAAAATTCAAAATGCTAATAGAGCTTAATTTTATAATTTTTTTCACTTTCTCTTCCCACAGCGTGAGTGCATCTCCATCCACGTTGGCCAGGCTGGTGTCCAGATTGGCAATGCCTGCTGGGAGCTCTACTGCCTGGAACACGGCATCCAGCCCGATGGCCAGATGCCAAGTGACAAGACCATTGGGGGAGGAGATGACTCCTTCAACACCTTCTTCAGTGAGACGGGCGCTGGCAAGCATGTGCCTAGGGCAGTGTTTGTAGACCTGGAACCCACAGTCATTGGTGAGTTGACCTCAGTAACCCAAATGAGATCCCAGTGTGCTGTAATAAGAAGTCTGTCCTGGGGGCTCCATTGATTATACACACACCATCTCCACCATCCCCTGCCAGGGCTGAGCAGGCCAGTGCAGGTAACTCAGTGATGGGTAGCTGGTTTGTTTCCCTTTTCCAGACGAAGTTCGCACTGGTACCTACCGCCAGCTCTTCCACCCTGAGCAGCTCATCACAGGCAAGGAAGATGCTGCCAATAACTATGCCCGTGGGCACTACACCATCGGCAAGGAGATCATTGACCTCGTCTTGGACCGAATTCGCAAGCTGGTAAACACCATGTAAAAATAGGTTTTTTAAATGGGGTGAGAGGTTACCAGTGCAAGTACGATGGTGTGGCGGAACGACACCATTCATTGTTTGGTGCCTGCCAAAATGCAGAATAGGCTGCTTACTGTATTAATTAGACTTTTAAACCAGACAGTCCTGGGTTATGGGACAACTTGCTGATGTGTCTATTTTGCTAGTTCATCATGCTTAACATCAGGCTGACATGCTTCATAACTAAGAAAATGTGTCCTGGCATTAAAATACTACCTTTTCTATTTTCTTCTTCCTCTACAGGCCGACCAGTGCACAGGTCTTCAGGGCTTCTTGGTTTTCCACAGCTTTGGTGGCGGAACGGGTTCTGGGTTCACCTCTCTGCTGATGGAGCGCCTCTCTGTCGATTACGGCAAGAAGTCCAAGCTGGAATTCTCCATTTACCCAGCCCCCCAGGTTTCCACAGCTGTAGTTGAGCCCTACAACTCCATCCTCACCACCCACACCACCCTGGAGCACTCTGATTGTGCCTTCATGGTAGACAATGAGGCCATCTATGACATCTGTCGTAGAAACCTTGATATTGAACGCCCAACCTACACTAACCTGAATAGGTTGATAGGTCAGATTGTGTCCTCCATCACCGCTTCCCTCAGATTTGATGGAGCCCTGAATGTCGATCTGACAGAATTCCAGACCAACCTGGTGCCCTATCCCCGCATCCACTTCCCTCTGGCCACATATGCCCCTGTGATCTCTGCTGAGAAAGCCTACCATGAGCAGCTTTCTGTGGCAGAGATCACCAACGCTTGCTTTGAGCCAGCCAACCAGATGGTGAAATGTGACCCCCGCCACGGTAAATACATGGCTTGCTGCCTGTTGTACCGTGGTGATGTGGTTCCCAAAGATGTCAATGCTGCCATTGCCACCATCAAGACCAAGCGTACCATCCAGTTTGTGGATTGGTGTCCCACTGGCTTCAAGGTTGGCATCAATTACCAGCCTCCCACTGTGGTACCTGGTGGTGACCTGGCCAAGGTACAGAGAGCTGTGTGCATGCTGAGCAACACCACAGCCATTGCTGAGGCCTGGGCTCGCCTGGACCACAAGTTTGACCTGATGTATGCCAAGCGTGCCTTTGTTCACTGGTACGTGGGTGAGGGGATGGAGGAAGGAGAGTTTTCTGAGGCCCGTGAGGACATGGCTGCCCTTGAGAAGGATTATGAGGAGGTTGGTGTGGATTCTGTTGAAGGGGAAGGTGAGGAAGAAGGAGAGGAATACTAAAGTTAAAATGTCACAAAGGTGCTGCTTTTACAGGGAAGCTTATTCTGTTTTAAACATTGAAAAGTTGTGGTCTGATCAGTTAATTTGTATGTAGCAGTGTATGCTCTCATATATAATTACTGACCTATGCTTTAAAACATGAATGCTTTGTTACAGACCCAATCTGTCATTTCTCTGTGGGTTTTGAATAAAGTATTCCCTGTCTTAAATGAGTTCAGTCCTGTGTTTTCTATTTGGGTGTCTGAACATGTTCATGTATACAGTACATTCAAAATAAAGAACAAAAGCTACATGGTTATACATCTACATGAAGTAACTTACTTTTATTTTGTTTTAAATTATCATTTTAAAACTTTTATTTATAAAGTATAAAATGTATATCTAAAGTTACCATTACATAGCATCCCCTACTATTCTTTTTCCTTTTTTGAGACAGAGTCTTGCTTTGTTGCCCAGGCTAGAGTGAGTGCCCATGGCATCAGCCTAGATCACAGCAACCTCACACTCCTGGGCTCAAGCAATCCTTCTGCCTCAGCCTCCCGAGTAGCTGGGACTACAGGCATGCGCCACCATGCCCAGCTAATTTTTTGTGTATATATTTTTAGTTGGTCAATTAATTTCTTTCTCTCTACTACTATTGTTAGTAGAGATGGGGTCTCGCTCAGGCTGGTTTCAAACTCCTGAACTTGAGCAATCCTCCCGCCTCGGCCTCCCGGAGTGCTAGGATTACAGATGTGAGCCACCATGCCCGGCTACCTACTATTCTTAATTTTTGACCTTATTATAATAAAGTTATTTAAACTGTCAGTACTTTTTAGATTGAAAATTGCTAATGCACAGCCAACATCTTCTGGTTGGCTGCTGAATCTCATATAACTAACAGATAAAATGGTGAATATTCCAAATGCATCACCAGGTCTTCTAAGGTCTTTTTCATGCACCCTTAACTCCTTGGCATGTGGCTAGTGCCATTATGCTCTCTCTGTTCAGGGTTCCCAAAAGAAGCTCTCTCCAAGCAGGTGTCACCTATGCTAGATCTAGTTCTTTACCTTCTTTCCAAAACTCTTTTTTAGCTGAATGTGACATTGGAAAAGTCTGATAAATTTATTTACTCTAATTTGTTCATTACACATCTGAATCTTAACTCTCCAAGTTAATACGGACCAATAACTTCAAAGGAAACCTACCAACACTGAGGAGAAGTTTTGGACCAAGGGTTTCTCCAACAATAGAACTCTGCTGGCAGTTCAACTGACCAAAGGGTGTTTCTTCACAACGACAGCAAATTGTCTTCCCACTGTTGCATTTTTTTGTTCTGGGATAATACTGAGTGGAATGAGATGTTTCTTTGATATTAATCACCTATTTCATCTATTTTTCCCTTGACATTGGTAACTATGGGGTATAATAGTCTTGTAGTTACTGGAATCTGTGTTTAATGGAAATAATGTAATATAATAAATCAGTCAAGATCAACTAACTTCAAAGCCAATCCAATGCTGCTCAGCAGTTTTAACTAGAAGCCAACACAAAAAGTAAAGATCAGGGCTGGATATGGTGGTTCACACCTGTAATCCCAGCACTTTGGGAGGTTGAAGTGGGAGGATTGCTTGAGGCCAGGAATTGTAGACCAGTCTGGGCAACATAGAGATTCCTACAAACTAAATAAATAAATAAATAAGCTGGGTGTGGTGGCACACGCTGATTGTCCCAGCTACTCAGGAGGCTGAGGCAGGAGGATGGCTTGAATCCAGGAGTTTGAGGCTATAGTGAGCTATGATGACACCACTGCACTCTAGCCTGGGCAACAGAGCAAGACCCTTTTTAAAAAAAAAAAAAGAAAGAAAAGAAAAACAGTGTGGCAGTTCCTCAAAGAATGAAACACAGAATTACCATATGATCCAGCAATTCCACTTGCAGGTATGTACCCAAAAGAATTGAAAACAGACTCATATAGATATTTGTATATCCATGTTCATAGCAACATTATTCACAACAGTCAAAACGTAGAAGCTGGCAGGGCGCGCTGGCTCATGCCTATAATCCTAGCACTCTGGGAGGCCGAGGCGGGTGGATTGCTTGACGTCAGGAGTTTGAAACCAGCCTGAGCAGGAACGAGACCCCGTCTCTACTATAAATAGAAACAAATTAATTGGCCAACTAATATATATAGAAAAAATTAGCTGGGCATGGTGGCGCATGCCTGTAGTCCCAGCCACTCAGGAGGCTGAGGCAGGAGGATTGCTTGAGCCCAGGAGTTTGAGGTTGCTGTGATCTAGGCTGACGCCAAGGCACTCACTCTAACCTGGGGAAAAAAGCAAGACTCTGACTCAAAAAAAATAAAAAAGTAGAAGCCTACCCTACTAATGGATGAATGGATAAACAAAATGTGGTGTATGTGTACAACAGAATATTATTCAGCCTTAAAAAAGAATTAAATTCTGACAAATGCTACAGCACAGATGAACCAGGAAAACATTATACTAAGTGAAATAAGCCAGACACAAAAGGATAAATATTGTATTAGTCCACTTATAGGAGGTACATGGACTAAAATTAATAGAGAAAAAAAATAGTGATTACCAGGGCCTAGGGGGAAGGAGATAATGGGGAGTTATTGTCTAATGGTTACAAAGTTTCAGTTTGGGATGATGAAAACATTCTGCAGATAGATAATAGTGATGGTTGTTCAACAGTGCAAATGTACTTAATGCTACCGAATTGTACACTTAAAAATTATTAAGTGGTGCCAGGCATGATGGTGTACACCTTTAATCCCAGCTACTCAAGAGGCTGAGGCAGAAAGGTCAGCCTGCCTCCAGCAGGCAGAAAGGAGGCCTGCTTAAGGCCAGGAATTTGAGGCTGTAGTGTGCTATGATCACACCTGTGAATAGCCACTCCATTACAGCCTGGGTAACATAGTGAGACCCTGTCTATTAAAAAAATTTGTTAGAAAGCAATATGGAGATACCTTAAAGCGATACAAGTGAATCTACCATTTGATCCAGCAATCCCATTGCTGGGCATCTACCCAAATGATCCAATGACACTCTACAAAAAAGACACCTGCACTCGAATGTTTATAGCAGCACAATTCATAATTGCAAGGCTGTGGAAACAGCCCAAGTGCCCATCAATCCAAGAATGGATTAATAAAATGTGGTATATGTATACCATGGAGTACTATTCAGCTCTAAGAAATAATGGTGATATAGCACATCTTATATTTTCCTGGTTAGAGCTGGAACCCATACTATTAAGTGAAGTTTCCCAAGAATGGAAAAACAAGCACCACATATACTCACCAGCAAATTGGTATTAACTGAACAGCACCTAAGTGGTCACATAAGTACTACAGTAATAGGGTATTGGGCAGGGGGCAGGGGGGCGGGTATATACATATATAATGAGTGAGATGTGCACCATCTGGGGGATGGTCATGCTGGAGACTCAGACTTGTGGGGGGAGGGGGGGAAATGGGCATTTATTGAAACCTTAAAAGCTGTACCCCCATAATATGCTGAAATAAAAAAAAATTTGTTAAAATGGTAAATTTTATGTTATATATATTTTACCACAATTTTAGGGGGAAAAACAAACAATGAAAGAATAAATCAACAATTTAAAAATTGGTTGCCTATAGGAAGAGAAAACATGGTCTAACTAGACTTCTTTGGATATATGTGTTGTATCATTTGACTACAGAAACATGTAATCATATTACATAATTATAACAAAGAATTAAATTAAGACAGAAAAAAAATCCCTAAAAATCAAAACTAAAATGAAGCAAATGAATCTAACCATGTTTCAGGTTGGTTCTTAACTATAGAGAGGGGAATTATTTCAAATGAAAAATTACTTGAAACTTAACATAGCTTGATTATACATCCATAGTGAGATATTTTAAAGATAAAAGAAGCTCCCTTAAAATGTACACTGTTTTCAGTATAATCATATTGCTAATAATAGTGATATTGTTATTTTGAAACTATTATGTATTAGAATGATTTATTCTATATAAATAATTAACTAGTGTTACTAATATATAAGAACTTTAAAAGTGATTATTAATACAACTATATTACAGATGTTCAACAAGGTAGATGAATTTTAAGTAGCAATGAGGGAGGAAAGATCCAAATCAGAATTCTAGAGATGAAAAACATGCCTGAGATAAAAAAATACACTGGATGGGACTAATAGTAGATTAGATATATAAGAAAAAAAGATTAATAAATTGAAGACCTAACATTAGAAATTATCCAAAATGAAACATAAATCAAAAAATGGACATCATATGGACACTATGTATATGAGATATATATATATATCAATACTAAATAGAACATAAACAGAAGCAGTTTGAAGATGATGCAGCGTTTTTATGTTTTATTTTTTTGAGACAGAGTCTCCCTCTATTGCCTGAGCTAGAGTGCTGTGGTGTCAGTCTAGCTCACAGCAAGCTTAAACTCCTGACCTCAAGTGATCCTCCTGCCTTGGCCTCCAAGAGTGCTAGGATTACAGGTGTGAGGATTACACTGCACCCAGCCAAGAGGCATTTTTATGATTAGAATTTACATAATGTTAAAACACTTAGTTTTGTTTATTTTTATTTATATATTTATTTTGTTTTATTTCTTTTTATTTTTTTTGAGACAGAGTCTCGCTTTATTGCCCAGGCTAGAGTGAGTGCCGTGGCGTCAGCCTAGCTCACAGCAACCTCAAACTCCTGGGCTCAAGCGATCCTACTGCCTCAGCCTCCCGAGTAGCTGGGACTACAGGCATGCGCCACCACGCCCGGCTAATTTTTTCTATATATATATATTAGTTGGCCAATTAATTTCTTTCTATTTATAGTAGAGACGGGGTCTCACTTTTGCTCAGGCTGGTTTTGAACTCCTGACCTCGAGCAATCCGCCCGCCTCGGCCTCCCAGAGTGCTAGGATTACAGGCGTGAGCCACCATGCCCGGCCAACCGGCCTTATTTTGTTTTATTTCTAATTGTGGTAAAATATATATCAAAATTTACCATCTTAATTACTTTATAAGTGGACGGTTCAGTAGTGTTAAGTATGTTCACATCGTTTTGCAACCAATCTCCAGAACTCTTTTCATCTTGCAAAACTAAAACTCTACACCCAGTAAACAATTCCCATTCCTCCCTCATAACCGCAGGCAACTAACATTCTACTTTCTGATTCTATGAATT